GTGTCTCCAGCCAGCCAATCAGGGGGTATACAGAACTCCTGATACCATTCCAGGACCCCAGTGACCGGGATGTGGAGGGTGTCACAAAATTGTTGAAGATCTGCAGAAAATGTGAGAACTGCTGTACGGCCCATATGAGTAGCAGTCATGCAGAAAGGAAACCACCATCTGTAAGGAATTTTGCACTCCCGAAAGACCACAAGCAAGGGTAGGAGAGCTCTGTGGTTACAAATTATAATCTAGGATAAGTCCTGGTACACTTGCTCCTCCACATCATTGAAAGATAATTCACCTTGCTCATGAGCTTGCATACGTGCATACGATTTCTTCCTAAAGGTGTTAGTCAGTAAAACAAATATAATGTCCCAGGGAGGATCAGTATCTCTGCCTCTGGGTTGCAGCACTCTGTGAGCCTGCTCAAATGTTTCAGGTGAATTAGGAGGCTGCTCTAACAGATCATTGAATAAGGTCTGGAGCGCCTGTGGTAACTGCTCTGCTTCCACTCAGGTATACCCTTTACCCGCAAAATCTTTTGACGGCCAACATTTCTGTATGTTGTGATGAGCTGCTGCTGCTATGGTCTGTAGGTCAACAATGGCTGCATCATGGCAGGTTGCAATATGCTCAACGTCCATCAATCTACCAGTGGCCGAGCGAGGATCCTGCCATAGCTCTGTGATGGCCAAAGTGATGGCCAAATGTTCTTCAAGTCCATGATTCGCAGCATTTATTGGAACATTTCGGCCATTGAGGAAAGAGTTTCTCTGGCATCTGAGCTGGTAGCTGTGGCCTGTGTTGCGGAAGATGGCAAGGCCTGGAAGCTCCAAGGATGCACACCCCCCTGTTGGGACCAAAATATAGGCGGTAGGTGATGGCGTGAGTGGGGTAAGCAGGGCTGTGGGGGAACTTTGCCTATCTTTCCCAATGTCGAGGGTGCTGAGATTACAATTCAGGGTGGCTTTTCTCTTCCTAGTGGAGCCGGAGCTTCTGTAGAAAGCATCCATCTCAGTTGCTGCCGAAGCCATGCCGCAAGAAAAAATATTTCACATTTTATTTCTTGTGTCTGACCTTCTCTTCCACCTTTCACATTCACTATCTCTGATGAAGACTTTAGCAGCTACACAGAAAATGAAAAAAAAAATATCTTATGATATTATACAGTTATGATCTCAAACACCTGTTTACAGTGCATTTTGTCCTAATGTGCACATACGCAATTATTTTACTCTCAAAATACAGGATGCAGCACTTCTCTTCACTTCTAAATATTACTATGCCATTTTCACCTTATTTATTTACAACTTCTCTGCAATCAATAATTATTCCATCCTTAGCGCAATATTAAACTCCAAAACAGAAAAATAGAATATATTGCAGCTAAACAATCCTTAAATGTGGTGGTTACATTTGTTTTCTCTTTTTTATGTTTTTTCCTTTATTGTAACCTGTTGACCTAACTAGTACAACACTTCATGTCCTAGGATGGCTCCACCATCAAGGAAGTTGAAAAATAACATTCTTACTGGAAATATCAACAAGTGAAAATAAAGGAAAAATGTCTAAAAAAAAATTGTTCAGCTGCAATATATTTTGTTTTTGTTTTTTATATTAATACCGCTTTAGCTTACCTTTGTATCTTTTATCTCTTTAATTTAATGGTTAAGTGTGTTGTCATCACACCATTTCTTCAAAAAAAGAACACCCTGGAGCCAGCATCACAAAGTAGTTCATTGCACTTCAATACAATTACTATGTATTTGGTTGTACTGATATGTCAACAACTGAAGAAAAAGCTTCAGGGGTGAATTTACAACTTGCTGATTGCCAGAATAATTGACAGATCCACAAATCTCAACTCTTCCTAATCTAGTGGAACAGTCAAATTTACAGATAATAAATGGAGAAATTAGTAGCTGAACATGCATTGCTTTACCAAACTATAGTGCGATTTGCAACTTTTTTTTTTTTTACCTGGGGTAGACCTAAGGGACAACTATATTATACAAATTTCTTTATACATAAAGACAATACACAATTTTATTATACAATTTTCCTTTAGATTTACCAGAAACCATATAATATGAGGTCAAACCTAAACAACACTTTCAATTTGTATCCAATCAGGCAGGCCCTTGCACTACATAGTTGAAGGTAAATATAAAGGAGAGTGTACAGAAATTGTACAAGAAAATTGTATGATGCATGGCCAGCATCAGAGAAGATCAGGAAAATGTCTTAACTATTATGCTATTTTATTTTAATATTTTATATTTTAAGATAAATCTTTTAGTAATTCTCTCTAAAAAGAGATATAGTGGTGGTAAAAGGTGCATGTGGCCAAATCAGGCTGAACAGTGGACATGACCGTAAAGGGTGTGATTAAACAGAGTCTGAGCATACTAGCTATATCTATATATATATATATATATATATATATATTTATATATATCTATGTCTGTCTATCTATCTATCTATCTATCTATCTATCTATCTATCTATCTATATATACTGTATATATATATATATATATATATATATATATATTTGTATACCATACATATGCCACAGTATATGCACCTATAAAATAGTATTACTACTATTATTATTATACAGAATTTATATAGCGCCAACAGTTTGCTCAGCGCTTTACAATATAACGGGAGACAATACAGCAACAATACAGTTCAATACAAGAGGGTTAAGAGGGCCCTGCTCCTTGGATCTTGCAATCTAAGAGGGAGGGGCTAGTGGTACAAAAGGTAATAACTGTGGGGGATGCACTGGTAGGAGGAATAGAATATTCAATTATTAGCTGAAGGCAGGGTAGGCTTCCCCGAAGAGATAGGTTTTCAGAGATCGCCTAAAAGTGAGCAGAGTAGGCGACAGTCTGATAAATTTGGGTAGAGAGTTCCAGAGGATGGGGAAAGCTCTGGAGAAGTCCTGGAGACGAGCATGGGAGGAGAAGACAAGGGAGCTAGAGAGAAGAAGGCCATGCGAGGGGTGGATAGTACGTTTTGGGTGATATTTGGAGACAAGATCGGTGATGTAATTTGGGGCAGAGTTATAAATGGCTTTATATGTTATTGTTAGTGTTTTGAATTTTATCCGTTGGGCAATGGGAAGCCAGTGGAGGGATTGGCAGAGAGGGATGGTAGATACAGAACGGTTAGTAAGGTGGATGAGTCTGGCAGCAGCATATGTCTTAATTACTGTGCTAGAATGTCATAGACACACATAAACCTCAAGACTCAACAACCAGCAACTGTTGAAACAATAAATACTTCCATTAGGAGACAAGTATACATCACAAAAGCATTCAGCCTGGGTTCACACTATAGCAGTTTGGGAAATCGCATGTGATCCAGACAGGAATCACACTGCATTCCTGTTCAAATTACATGTGATTCTTTACAGTGCAATTGGGCCCTTTCATTTTGTATGGGCTCAGTTTGCGCTGCATCCACACGAAAAGTTGGAGGCATCTTTCTTTTTTGCTGCAATGGAATCAGATTGCATCCATGGTTGTGAACAACCATGCGATCCAATTCTTGCAATTGTACTGCATTCTTTAATCTACTTTGGGGTGTCTTTAATATAATAATGACACCCATGGCAGATTGCATGAATGGAGTGTGATTTCAATGCGTTGCGGGAAATGCAGCGAATCCAGAGCAGCGAATACTGTGCAGCTGCTTGCCTAAACAACCCTAACCTTTACAAGATCAAAGTAAAAGAAACATAAAAACATACACGGGTCACACTCACAATGATTTACAATGGACCAACCAATAAGGCCAATCAAACACATTCATCTTTACAGAAAAACACTGACAATAGACCACTATTCAATTAAATATGTTTACATGCAGCATCACGAGTGCTACGTGTAAACATATTTCATCACATCAACAACACTGTGCTCTTGATGTGATGAAATCTATTTACAAAGTGGCTGCTTCCCTGTGTGCAGGTATGATAGTTGCCTCCTAATTGACAGTGGTTCTATTGATTTCACTACATATTACCGCTTTAAGTATAATTAATGCTTTATTCTGGGCTTCTATTGTTGATAATCTATTTTATATGTGACGGGGATCAGTTTAATTGATTTAAAGAGAATGCATCATGGATTTGTATTTGACAGAATTTCTCTGTGAAGATGAACGTGTTTGATTGATTTTATTGCTAGGTCCATTGTGGATTATTATGAGCGTGACCTTTGTTTGTTTTTACTTTCATCAGGAATGAGTAATGTACAGTACAGCTTAGGGAGTACACCAGTTAAAATTATGTAATGCATGATACTGTAGTATATGCAATGCAGTGACCAGGAGTATGTAACATGAAATACATCACATAGCATGCAAAAGATTAGATATATGAAATGAACAAACAGCAGAATGAGCACAGTGTAGTAGTCAGGCCAGCTCAGTAGATTTTTTTTAACCACTTGCCTTCCAGAGGATTTACCCCCCTTCCTGACCAGGACATTTTTTGCATTACAGCGCTGCGTTATTTTTACTGACAATTGAGTGGTCATGCAACACTGCACCCAAATTAAATTTATGTCCTTTTTTGCCACAAATTGAGCTTTTTTTGGTGGTATTTTATTGCCTGTGTGGTTTTTATTTTTTACGTTATAAAAAAGAAAGACCGACAATTTTGAGAACAAAAACAATATTTTTGACTTTTTGCTATTAAACATGTCCAGTAAAAAAAATAAAAAAATCAAATTAATCATAAATTTAGGCCAAAATGTATTCTGCTACATTTCTTTGCTAAAACAAAATCACAAAACGTGTAAATTAATTGGTTTACGTGAAAGTTATAGCGTTTACAAATGGCAGCAATCAGCGACTTATAGCGGGACTGCGGCAGACATTCTGACACTGGGGGGAACTGACTTGGTGTCACTGACATCCCCAATGACACTAATACAGTGATCAGTGCTAAAAAAAAAGCTCTGACTCTGTAGTAATGGCACTGGGGGCAGGAAGGGGTTAACCTCCTTGGCGGTATTCCCGAGTGTAGCTCGGGGTAACATTTCAGTACCAAAAGCGGTAACCCCGAGCTACACTCGGGAATACCATGCGGCACTGCTCCGGCATGTGTTCTTCACTTACCTTACCCTGCGCTCCCACGATGTGTCCCCTGCAGCGTCCCCGGCCATCTCCTCCGCCGATGCCGGCATCCGGCTTCTGTGTCCTGTCCCTGTGACGTCGGGACATACGGGCGCCGCCGCCGCCGGCGGCGGGAAATTTAAAAATTTTAAAAAATGTCATTTTTTTTTTTTTTCATTTTACACAGTAAAACATTGCTGTTTCAACCTATTTCACATACATATTGTCCCTAGTGCTTTGTCCTGCACCCTGCCTGCATTTTGTCTGTTCTTTCTGCCTGGAAACTGAGAAATGTCCATGGCGTCCAAAAAGTGTCCCTTTAGGTCAAAAGCGGTTTAGATCAGCTAGAGAACAGCGATAGTAAATCAGAACCGCTTACAGAATTGAGTGATAATGATTCGTGGGGGAAATTCGTCATCAGAAACTGAAAACGATTTTTGCGACTGAGCTCAGCAATGTGCGAACTTGGCGCTCTATTTCACATTTCAGTGTTTTTGGTTTGATTATATTATTGAATTAAATTTTTTTTATTTTTTTATATTATTTTTATGATTATTTATTAAATTATAATTTATGATTTTGTGTTTCAAATTTTATCATACCCGGGATGTTTACTAGACTCTTGTTCGGACAGATTTCAGTGAGTTTTTCCTAAAAATTACAGCCTACAATAAAAAAAAATACATATTTCCATGCAAAAAAATGGTACCGCTTTCAGCACCAAAAATCTGAAATAATCATACCGCCAGGGAGGTTAACATTAGCGGCAATCAAAGGGTTAACTGTGTGCTGTTTTACTATGCGCTGTGTCTTTGTGCTTCACTGTAAGTACACTGATATGGATGGCTGTGCTGCGCACAGCCATCCAAAGCAGTGTGCACGAGCTGATAAGGAGATGAACTGTTTTGTTTACAAACAGTTCTCCCCCGTCAGAGATGCTCGGCAATCAGCAGGCACCGGCAAGTAATCACCGGCCGGGACCCAGTGACTGACAGCCGTGGACGCGAATGGAAGTGCGAGTAGGGCGTGTGCCCCCTACCCAGAAATGCGAAATCACATATATATATGTGATTTTGTGCACCCGTACCGCCCTGTAGCAGTATTTATGCTATAGGGCAGGCGGGAAGCTGTTAAAGATCTGGATGCATTCCTAAAAGCACAAAATATATCTGGATACTAATTTCTAAAGATTATAACAACAAGGATAGTTGAATCAGGAAATATTCAATTGCCTCCTGGGGGAGGAGGAAGTAATTTTTCCCCCCACTAGAGCAAATTGGATCATGCTTCATTGGGGGTTTCTTTGCCTTCCTCTGGATCAACTATGGGAATAACATAGTGTATATGGATTTTTTCTATTTGGTTTTTTGTTTTGTTTTTTTAATTGGTTGAACTAGATGGATTAGTGTATTTTTTCAACCTGACTAACTGTAACTACTGTATGTAAGGTAGAGCAATGTTTGAGTAATGTGTAATAGTCCAAATATGTAACATACAAGCCACAGAGTTTAAAGATAAGTAAAGTAATGTAATGTGTAGTGTGTAGTGTGTGATTGGAGGAAAATGCCATGTTGCTGGCCAGTGGGAGGAAATTTTCTCTTTACATCTGTGCATGGAAAAATACCCCATTACATTTGAGTTATTAAGAGGAAAAAAAAATTCCTCCTTCTATCAAGGAAGTGCAAACAAGATAGTGACAGGCACATTTTTTTGATAACTCAGAACCCATTTTTTATCATTATAAGTCATATTCTGATATACTCAAAGTGTTGTGGGATTTAACAGTTCCCCCTTTATCAGGACTTTGGGAGTGCTAAAACAGTATGCATTGCACTGGTGTATATGGACTGGAGTAATCTTGATCTGTAATTCTAGTGTTTTCTTTCTTTCTTAGTCCAGATACTGGTTTAGTAGGCTGGTAAAACTGGGGCCTGAAACAGCTTGTTGTTACACAATAAGTTTACCCATTGGGATCACTCTATATCCATCTGTCCAGTTCTTGCCAAGTCCTGATGAAAAGGGACCTGTTGAATGCAAAAACTTTGGGTTTTAGCTTAAAATAAGTTCACATTTCCTAACATGTTACATGTTACACCCATATTCAGGGTGTAATCTGTAACATGTTTCTGATGCAGCGGCCCCCGCCCCCAACCCCTGTTGTGACAGCTGATCAGGGATCTTCTCCCCGCACCTGGTGTCACTTTAAAAAAAAAACACGGCTGTGCGGTGTTCCACCCCCCTGGCTACATCATTCATTCACAGAGGTCTGTGAATGAGAAAACTACCATCTGCCATTGCAGCTGATGGCTTGTAGTTCTCAATGAACTACCAGGGTGCTGGTGAACACTCTATGTAGTTCATTAATGCTTCCTGTCATTCATTAACTGCCTGCCTGTACGAGGTATGGCAGGCAACTACACTGACAGTATGCAGGAGCCTGGTGCAATGCTTTACTGGCCCCTAATAAAAAAGTAATAAACACACATTTTTTTACCTGCTTAATAATATGTATTTATACTTTTTTTACAAAGATAAACTAGTCCTTTAATGTTACTTTGAATAATAATAATAAAAAAAAATGTTCTGGTCTTCCACGCAATGGGGCTATTGCCTTTGCAAAATGATTTTCACTTAATTTGGTGAATGAGGGGGAGCTCTGCTGACTTCCATCATCCAATCCTTTGCAAGCAAAAATACCGTTTTGTTTTTTTTCCTTGCATGTGACCGGCTGATCTTTGTAAAGTTAATTTTTTTTACCACTTTCACTAGACTAAGTGCTGGCTCACACCAATATGATTTGTCAAGCGATTTGACAGTTCAGAATCGTATGACAAGTCGCACCTCATTTGCGGCAATGGAACCATTCAAATCGTTGCGACTCAAGTCACAGTGACTTTGAAAAAGGTTCCTGCACTACTTTTCTGCAATTTCATTGCCACTTGCATTGACTTCCATTAAATGAAATCAGAAGCCACAATGAAATTGAACATCCAAATTGTACTGATCTGCGGTTTTGAAATTTTCTCTGAAGTGGCACAATTTCAAAGCTGAATTGGTGTGAACTAGGGCTATGGGAATTCCCTTGCACAGTGAACATCCTTTTTGCCTTTAGTAAATCAACCCAATTGTGTTTACTACTCACCTCTTTGAACCCTAATGTATCTGAGACAGAGACTGATCTATGATTGTTCTATGTCCTTGGTGAGCTGCCTAACAAAGGAATTCATAAGATTGAATTAATCCATTAATAAAATAAATTATTTAGCACTTTACATTTCTCTTTTACTCTTACATTTCTGGACAGTGGGAGAAAGTCTTCCCTTTACATTGGGGCTCAGTAAGAGGAATAATGCCCCCTCTGCACATGTGGTCAGTGAAGGGATGACTGCCTCAGCATTGGTGTCAGTGGAAGAAATAATGCCTTAGCATTACTGATTAACAGGGAAGGGGAGAATATCTCTGTATTTGTGTCAGTGAATATGTTTACAGGAGATACTTCATATCCAGCACAGCTAGATGTGACTGTTTCTGTCGGTGCAAGAACTAATCTTTTTTCATCTAACCACCTGTCCCCCCCTTCAATCACAAATACTATGGTCACACTCCGGCTCTATCCTACACTCTTTAACTCACATCTTCCCCAACCCTCTAAAACATGCACTAGTTACCCCCATACTTTAAAAAACCTCCCTGGACCCCACCAACATTAACAACCTAAGACCAATCATATTACTCCCTTATGCCTCCAGACTCCTTGAATGCCTAGTCTACAACAACCTGAGCTGCCTCCTCATTGAGAATAACCTTCTTGATCCCCTTCAGACTAGATTTGAACACTCCACAGAAACTGCTCTCCTAAAACTCACGAGCAACTTACTAACAGCTAAAAGCAATGGTCACTATTCTGTACTCTTACTCTTGGACCTCTCTGCTGCTTTTGATACAGTTGACCACCCCTTCCTCCTAAACACCTCTATTTCCTTGGTCTCTGTGACTGTACTATTCATTGGTTCTCATCTTACCTTTTTCACCACACCTTCATTGTCACTTACAGCTCTACCTCTTCTTCTCCTATTCCTTTTTCTGTCGGGATACCTGAAGCTTCTGTCCTTGGACCTCTCTTATTCCTGATATACACCTCCCCCTGGGTCAGCTTTAAGCTTCCCATGGCTTCCAATAACATTTCTATGCTGAGGACACCCAAATATATCTTTCTACCCCTCAGCTCACCCCATCACGTATCACTGATTTACTATCAGACATATCAATATGGATGTCACCATTTCCTCAAACTTAGTATATCTTAATATTTCCTCCACTACGTGACTCATCTCCTGATTTTTCTGTCAAGATCGATGGCACAACTATCAATTTGTCCCCGCATACCAGGATGCTAGGGGTAACCCTGGACTCTGAACTGTCCTTTCTGGCCCACATTCAATTCCTGTCCAAATCATGCCATCTCATCCTCTCCATGATGCACTCCTTTTTAACCGACACCCCAAAGCTTCTAATTCACTCCCTGGTTATCTCTAGCTTTGACAATTGCAACTCCCTCCTCACTGGCTTACCTTTACATAGGCTATCCCCCCTTCTGTCCATCATGAATGCTGCTGCCAGACTCATCCACCTTACTATCCATTCATTGTCTATCACCCCTCTCTGCCAGTCTCTCCATTGGCTTCCACTCACTCAACAAAAAAAAACTAAAAATACTAACAACTACTTACAATGCATCCACAACTCCCCTAGCTATCTCACTACCTGGTCTCAAAATACCAACCAAACCACTCTCTGCTATCCTCCCAAGACCTTCTGCTCTCTAGTTCCCTTGCCACCACTTCCACTGCTCGCCTCCAGGACTTCTACCAAGCTTCTCCCATCCTATGGAACTCCTTATCACAATCTGTCCAACTATTTCCTAATCTATCTATCTTTAGATGATCCCTGAAACCCTTTCTCTTTAAACCTATTCCTGCTTAAATTATATTGTATTTTTACTT